GAAGCACCCACTAACAGCACTTCCGTCTTGTCTGGATTGAGTTTCAATTTATTAACCCTCATCCAGTCCATTATCTGGTCCAGACACGAGTTCAGCACAGAAACCGCCTGTCGTCATGTTGCTTCCAACTTAGAGTGACCCTCGTGGGGTTTTCAAAAGGTGTGAGATGCTTAAGGAGAGGTTTTACTATTGCGCGCGCACACACACACACACACACACACACACACACACACACACACACACACACACAGAGCGAGCATGGTTCCATGCCCAAGGGTGGATTTGAACCTGGGTCTCCTGATTCATAGTCTGTCATTCTACCCAGCTGCCCCATACTGGCTGCTCAGAGTGCACGGCACATAACAGAAATAGAGAAAATGAAAATAGGCAGGCATTTATCCACAACGCCCCCTCCCGTCTGTACCTTCCCGTGCCGTGTATTCGTTGTCCTCGATCACTCTGGCTAAGCCAAAATCAGCAATCTTGCACACCAGCATGGCTGACACCAGGATGTTGGCAGCCCTCAGGTCTCGATGGATGTAGTTCTTCCGCTCGATGTAAGCCATGCCTTCTGAGATCTGTACCAACAAGAGAAAAAGGGACCGGTTGTAATAGGGTTCACGGACTACAGCAGGGAAGCATGGTTGGGAGAGAGAAGCTCGTGGAGCGCCAGGAGAGAACCCGTTGCCTCTATCAGATCCAGCTTAGGAGCCTGGTTGAAGGTGGTGGAAACACTGAATGATTCCCAACTCCTTGTCTAACAAGACTGAAAGGATGCATGACAAGGCCACCTGCCCATGATTTGGATAATTCCACCCCAGCTCTTGAATCATCCTTTGCTCCGAGAAGACAGAATTCTCTGGAAAAGTCAGCAACACTGGGAAAGACGGAAGGCAGCAGGAAAAGAGGAGGACACCAATATGAGTTGGACTCACTCCCTAAAGGAAGCCATAGGCTTAGTTTAGAAGAGGTGAGCAGGGCGCCTGAGGACAGAAGATTTTGGAGACTGCTCGTTCATAGCGTCAGGCGTGAGACATCGACACACGACAATGAATGAAAGATATCGCCCACCCTTGCCTTCTGATGGTGCACAAATATCCGACCGTGGATTTTGGGTGTGGTTTCCCCCACACCCTGACAGCCAAAGCTATCTTTATCTTTTAAGGCTGTGAGCGAGGCCCGTAGTTTTCCTGGGAACGTCCTGCTCCCGGGCTCCTCCTGCAACATAGCAAGAGCCTCGCCCGCCTGCTTTCGGGGGTCTCTGCCCAAGAGAGCTGTGAAGACCCGAAGGGGAAGGAGTTAGTGGTCCGCTCTGCCAAGGCGAAGGTGCTGGGATGGATCGCGGGTGGCGGGGGAGGGGCACCCACCTGCTCCTTTGAATGCCTGATTTTGGCACCAGGAAGGAGGGCACGGGGAGGGGGCTCCGGGACAAAGCGTGGATTGTTCTCGGCCAGAGCGAGAACACTTCCTCCTCGAAGGGAGAGGGAGATCTGGAGGAAGGTTCATAAAAAGCACCTTCACACAAATGGACAGCGCCCAGCCTTTGCATATTCAAATAGACCCTGCCACACTCGTTGGACAGGGAGTAACAAGCAGTGGTGGGATTCAGCAGGCCAACAAACGGTTCTGGCACTCGTTGGACAGGGAGTAACAAGGCCTTGTTACACAGACATTGCTCTCGGATCCTCTTTTTAAAACAAAATACTGCATCTGTGCCGTAACGTCCACTTCCACCACCACCACCCCAAAATATGAGGGGCCGAGGCGGTCAGAATTCCTCTTGCTCAGATCTAAGACGTCTTCCACGGACTCCAGGAAGGCCTAATCCAGCCGAAAAGCGGCACTTCGCCGACACACGTTTATGGTAGCCCTAGGTTTCTGCTCCTCCCACCTACTGAGCTGCCTGAGGCATCCCTGTTTCAGCAAGTCGCCCGGCTACCTGGCATCAACAGGGCCATGGCGAGTGAGTTGCCAAAGCAGGAACCGAGAATGAGCAGCCCTCTAGAAGTTGTGGGATTACAACACCCATCGTCCCTCACCACCAGCTGTATTGACTCAGTATGATGGGAGCTGGAATCCAGCCTATGCTCCCAGTCTGACAGCGAGGTGTGGCGGAGATACATCCATAACCAGAAGCCCATGGATGTGGTGGTGGTGGTGGTGGGATCCTTTCTCCCCTCTCACCAAACCTTGCAAAGTCTTTGAGAGTGGTGGGTAATCGGGAGCCAGGATGGATGACCGGGCACAGCGCATCATAAGAAATGTAGATTGCAACGTCTTTCTATCCCACTTTTCCGCTAATGAATTCATTGGTCGTGTGAATGGCTTGCTTCCTGCCCCCATCTTTTCACAACAACGGTGTGAGGTGAGGTGAAGCTGAGAGAGCGAGAAAGGCTAAGCCAAGGTTGTTCTGTGACTTTCATGGATGAACGGGGATTTGAACTCAGGTCTTGAGGGTTCTATACCACACGGAGCAACACAGAATGCTGGAGAAAGCGGCTTGTCCTTCAGCGGCGCAAGAGCCCCGGCTTTACACGCAGAAGGACCGGCGTTGTACCCTTTTCTTTATTAAATATTATAAAACGCAACAATGGACCTCAGAGGAGTCTACTTCTTTTTAGCAAAACAAGCAAAAATCAAAGGTACGGAACATAAAACTTCTGACAACGATGCAAGTGAGAGATGTGGGGCTTTCTGGCCCCTCCAGAAAAGCTCAATTTAAAAATGCCGTTGACCTATGCAAAACTGCTCCAGGGATGCTCAGGTATTGCTCAGACGGGAGAGGTTTTTTTCCTTTTAATGGCAGCCCCCAAAACCCTCTAGCGGCCAGTGGTCCCTATTCCTAGGCCTCCAGATGTTCTTGGACTTCAACTCCCAGAAATCCCGGCCAGCAGAGGTGGTGGTGAAGGCTTCTGGGAGTTGTAGTCCAAGAACCTCTGGAGGCACAAGGTTGGGGAGCACTGGTGTAGCCAGCAGGGCCAGGCAGCCCGTGTCACCCTGGGAGTAGCCGTTCAGCACCAGCAGCAACAGCCCCTGCTGGCTTCCCCCGACCCTGGTTTTCCTTGGCAGCCCATTCCAGGGCTCAGCTCTGGCAAAACAGCCATGCCTGGGTGCCCAAATAAGCCCCCACCCCAGCCCCCCCCCCCCACGTCCCCACCTCGGGGATGGCTCTTACCTGGGCCGCAAAGTCAATCAGTTTGGGAAGGGGCTGTGCACGTCCTTCATCGCTTTTCAGGAAATTCAGCAAGCTACCTGTGGGAAGGAAAGAAGCAGCATCTTCAGGGCATGGAAAGCAGCTGCTGGCCTCCTCCCTTCGGGTCCTCCTGCCTCTGCCTGGCCTTTCTCCCCGGAGAAAAGCCACCTCTTGGCTCTTACCTGGGCCGCAAAGTCAATCAGTTTGGGAAGGGGCTGTGCACGTCCTTCATCGCTTTTCAGGAAATTCAGCAAGCTACCTGTGGGAAGGAAAGAAGCAGCATCTTCAGGGCATGGAAAGCAGCTGCTGGCCTCCTCCCTTCGGGTCCTCCTGCCTCTGCCTGGCCTTTCTCCCCGGAGAAAAGCCACCTCTTCAGGGCCTTTTAGAGACATACCGTATTTTTCCGTGTATAAGACACCCCCATGTATATGACGCCCCCACTTTTCTAATCCAAAATTAAGAAATCTAAGTGGGGCTTAGCAAGTGTAGCGGGAAAGGGATCAAAGTGCTGCAGGATCGCTTTGATCCCTGCTTTCCCCTCCACTTGTTTTTGTTCTCTCCTCAGCTTACTTCCGTGTATAAGACAACCTTCAATTTTTAGTCTAAAGATTTTAGACAAAAGTATAGTCTTACACATGGAAAAATACGGTATATTGGCTGGTTTCAGATGCACCACAATACAATTAATAAAAAGAGCAGATCATGTCCCACCCAATATCAGGCAACTTATTCAGAGCAGCAAACAGAAAAACGTTTGAGGATGCACCTTAAGACAGGCAGAGTGCATGGACGTAGGCGAGAAGCTACCTGTGCTTCCACACCTTTGCTGCCGAACGTATGCTTACCTTGCTTCATACACAGCGGGTACCAAGTGCCATCTCTAAGCCCATGCCTCCAGTTAAAAAGGGAACAGGCCGGAGATGGGTGCTATTCCAGGTTTTATTTAAAAAAGCAAAACAACTATAATCCTCAGAAACTCACAAAACACATGGCCAATGTATTGCAGAGTTTGGAATAATTGGTTCAATTCCTTTAGCGGCACAGGGAGGGTGCAGGAAGTCACAGAACAGAACTGTTTCAAGTTCAAGCAGGCTACCCCTTTTCCTCCTCAACGGGCACTTACAGTCTCAATCACTCACCCGGAGACATTAGAAGGAGAAAGAATAAAAACCGTTTTCTTCACTTGCAGTTCTGAACAGATCGAACAGCAAACTCACAAAACGTGGCTGTCTGCAGCGACAGGCTTCGGCAGACTCACTGACCGCTTCCAACCGATAACAGAGAGGGGAAAAGCTCAAAAGGAGCTTCGCATTCAGAGGCAAGGAAGGAACAATTGGTTAATGCTGTTATTGATTGATAGTCACTCCAGCCCGGAAAGGTCCTTCCCAGCCACACCTATCAGATACAGCATGCGAGGTTGCAAAAATCCCAGCACAAAGGCCGTGCTGGGTATGAAATTCTAGGAGCTGTAGTTTTTCCTGCCTCTGAAACAGACAGTCATTGATAGGAAACCTCTCTCTCTCTCTCTCTCTTTTTGTCTGAAACAAAAAACAGACCTTAAAGACAGCCTGTTATTGGAAGAAAGAAAAGCTTCACTAATGTAAGCATTTGATAGTCATATCAAAAACTTCTCCCATCTTCAAGATTATGCAAATTGGTCTGCGGTCCTTGATGACCCATCTGCAGGATTTGAGCAGGAGTTTCCTTCAAGGTCTGATTTCACAAACGCGGAAAGACAGCCTTTAGCCACTTCTCGGCTGCCGTAACCTCCTTTCAGGCCTGATCAAGACCCGTTCCCAGCTCGAAACTGGAAGAACTCCTGCCGGTCACAACTATAGGTGGCCAGGAAGAGGTCTTCCGCAGAGTCACACCGGTGATTCCATTTAGCCCAGCCTTGTCCCCTGAGACCGGTGGCAAACCTCAGAGCGTCAAGCTACCAAAGAAGATGCCAAGTCAGTAGTTGTGTCAGTCTGTTGCAGCACAAACTGCAATGAATCTTAGGGTGCCTTTCAGATCAACTTCCATAGACACACCCCAATTCTTTGGACGTATGCAGTACAAGTAAGTTTGCAAACTACAGGTTTATACCCATGCTGGAGAATTGGAAATTCTGCATGCAACACACTGAGTCTCTGTTTCTTTCTATTCCAGCCCTTCTCCCCTGCATAGGTATAGCGTATGATGGCCTCCGTGGAAATCAGTACATCTTCACAGCTTGGCTAATGCTCCTTCCATTATCTTGACACACAAACCCGCCCCTTTCTCTCCCGCCACGAACCATTATCACTTTCTCGCAGCTATACACCACATCCTACACAGCTTCCGTGGCCCGTGGAACTTGTGCCTTTGTGGTTAGCGAGGGGCTGAGAGCATCTGGCACCATGGGGGCAAAATGGTTCAGGCCCGGGAGGGCTAAGGTTAGCAAGCCTGCAAAGAGATGCACTCTGCTCCCCGTGGGCTTCGTGCTGTCAGCTGGAATTAGTTCCTTGGTGGCGCACAAAGCCAAACCAGAGCAAAGACAAACCCTTCCTACCCTCACTCTGAAATGTCCTTGAGAAAATAGAGGGAGAGAAGATGGCGCTTGGCAGCAGTGATTGAGAGGAAGGTCACCTCCAGCATGAAAATTGCAAACAGGTAAGCAAAGGAGAGGAAAAGGGGTATCCAGGACTGAAGGAGCTTTTACCAGCCTGGATGTGGGTCTTTACAAGCTGCCAGAATTTGGAAATGCTTCTTTTCTGGAGAACAATCACCCGACACGGCCAGCAGCCTTGATGGCTAGGGAATTCTTCAGGCTGCCATTTATTTTATTTATTTAAAAATATTTTTACCCCACCTTTCTCCTAAAAAGGACCCAAGGTGGCTTATATCCTTATTTTAAAAGACTGCATTTTAAAGCCAACAACAGTGAGTATACAAATAATGAAAAGGGTCAAACAAACACGATACAGAAAAAAATATAGGCAAAACCAAAACACATTCAAAGCATGAAAATACAATAATCTGCTTGCGGAAAGACAGCCAAGACGGGGCAGGCCTGGCCTCCAGTGGGAGGGAGTTCCAACGTCTTGGAGTGGTCACAGAGAAGGCCCTGCCCTGCGTCCCCTGCCTGCCCTCCGGCTCACCTTTCTCCATGTACTCCGTGATGATATAGATGGGCTCCTCCTTGGTCACCACAGCGTTCAGTTTGACCAGCTTGTCGTGCTGCAGCGTCTTCATGAGGTTGGCCTCCTCCAGGAAAGCTTCCACCGACATGGTGCCCGGCTTCATGGTCTTCACGGCTACTTTGGTGTGCCTGTTGTAGGTGGCTGAAGAAGAGGGACAAGGGGCGATGCACTCCCATCACCGTGTCGTGACCTCCCCCAGACCGGCCACCCAAGTCACTGGTGGATTTGGCCATTACCGGCTGAGCCCACAAGCAAAAAGCTGAACCCGGGGTGAGATGCAGAACCTCCAAGCCACGAAAACGCAGCCGCCTAGGGGCCTCATTTCAAAATTGCAAACGTGGGCCCAGAGATTCGTGGGAGCCCCAGCCTTACCCATCCAGACTTCCCCAAACTGTCCGGCTCCCAGGACGACCTCCAGCTTCAAGGAGTCCCTGGGAATTTCCCAGGCGTCTTTCTCCCAGGGTTTCTCAGGCTTCGGCGCAACACATGGGTAGGTCAGCGTTTGGCACAACCCATCGCTTTGACCTGAAAGGCAGAAAGAAGGAATAAGCACCTTGTAGGCTGCTGGACTTAAAGAACCTCTTAAGGAGGGTGAAAGAGGAGAGCGCCAAAAACGGTCTGAAGCTGAACATCAAAAAAACTAAGAGCATGGCCACTGGTCCCATCACCTCCTGGCAAATAGAAGGGGAAGATATGGAGGCAGTGCCAGAATTTGCTTTCTTGGGCCCCATGATCCCTGCAGATGATGACAGGAGCCACAAAATCAAAAGATGCCTGCTTTTTGGGAGGAAAGCCATGACAAACCTAGACGGCATCTTTAAAAGCAGAGACATCACCTTGCCAACAAAGGTTTGAATAGTCAAAGCTATGATTTTTCCAGTCACAATGCATGGAAGTGAGAGCTGGACCATAAAGAAGGTGGCCCACTGAAGAATGGATGCTTTTGAATTGTGGTGCTGGAGGAGACTCATGAGAGTCCCATGGACTGCAAGGAGATCAAATTTATCCATTCTGAAGGAAATCCCCCCTGAGTGGTCACTGGAAGGACAGATCCTGAAGCTGATGCTCCAATACTTTGGCCATCTCACGAGAAAAGAAGACTCCCTGGAAAAGACCTTGATGTTGGGAAAGTGCGAGGGCGAGAGGAGAAGGGGACGACCGAGGACGAGATGGCTGGACAGTGTCATCGAAGCGACCAACATGAATTTGACCCAACTCCGGGAGGCAGTGGAAGGCAGGAGGGCCCGGCGTGCTCTGGTCCATGGGGACACAAAGAGTCGGACACAACTTAACGACTAAACAACAACAACAAGGCTACACCACTCCCATCTTTTTCTTTTAACACACCATGTTTGAAATAGTGGCCAGTTCTTGCTCCCCGGTCGTAGTGCCTTGTATGGAGCACTTTGGGAAAACCAGTAAGACAGGTAAACAGGAAGCTGCCTTATGCTAGGAGAGGCCACTGGTCTGTCGCCTACACCAGGATGGGCGAATTCGGTGGGGCCAAAGGGCCATTTTTCCGAGGGGCTGGCTGCTCAGGGGCCACACCTCCGAAGGGGTGTGGCTGACGTAGGAATTGGTGTGGCCTTTGCAGCAAATTATCTCTTTAAAAATTAAATGTCACAATGATTGATGAAATCAAGCTGGCGTTGACTCATTAAATGAGGAAATAATGTATTTCCTTAAAATAAAAAGCAACAACTCCCCATGCCAAACACACACTTTAAAAAAATTAAAAAATAATGAAAAAGCCTTGCATACCCTCCAGTGGCTGATTTTTTAAAAAAATCATTTGGGTGGCATTGAGGAGGAGAGGGGGCCGCAGGGAAGCATCTGAGACTCTTCCCCCACCCTGTTGGTGGCTGATGGACGTCAGTTCTCTCCAGGGTTCCAGAACAAAGAGTCTTCCTCAACAATAAGTGGAGATGCCAGGTCCTGAACCCAAGTTAATAATAATAACAATAATAGAACCCTATGGATCATCAGGTCTGGTCGCTTGTCAAGAAGACACAGTGGGGAAGCAAACTCCCCATGTATAGCTCTGCAGCCAGATACCACAAAGCCCAGGTCACTTGTCAAGGAGACATAGTGGGGAAGCAAACTCCCCACGTTTAGCTCTGCAGCCAGATACCACAAAGCCCATGTTCCCAGGTTGTGACTTGTGGCGGAGAAGGAAATCATTTCTCCCCATTGCTACCTCACCTCTTTAATACGAGATGTCAGGAATGGAACCAGCAGTCTTCAGCATACACCCTACCACTTTTGGTGGGGTTGCGTTATGTGCCTCCAATTTTCAACCCAGGTAAGTGAGATATTTAGGGAGTGGCTTTACCACTTCGCCACCCACCCACCCGGCGAGCTTCCATGGCTGAGCAGGGAATCTCAGACCCTGATCTCCTGAGCCCTAATCCCATGCCCTAGCAATCATGTCACAATGGATAAGGAAGTCTGATGATGATGATGATGATGATGATGATGATGATGATGATGATGATGATGATGAGCTTTTTCCAAGATAGGCAGTTTTGATCGCTCAGATTGCTACCGCTTATTTATTAGGATTCCTTACGTCCAGATTTACTTCTATCTCTCAAAGCCAAGCAAAATAAAATCAAGAGATACCCCAGCTTTAAAAGCAAAATGCAACAGAATCCAGAACCAACGCCAGCTAGAGCAGAGCCACTGCATCCATAGGGTTTGCAGTACAGAAGGGCTGAGTCTCCATTCAGAACGGGATTAAACCTAGTAGGAACCGCTAGGTGGATTTGGTGCATTCAGGACAGATTTCATCCGGCCTCTCCCGGGAGGGCGCACCACCATTTTTTATGTTTTGGGGAAGCGACGTGTGGAGCCAGGACTGCATGCATGCCACGGAGCACCCGAAGCATCCTGTTTTGCTCTCACTGGGCTCGGCCACGTGGAAATGGCTTTTCAACCCTGAAGCCGAGACGCCAGGGGCTGTTTCTCTGCAGGGGAAGGGGGGAAACCGCAGAAAATTCCCAAGGTTTACATTTATAATGAGCGACCAGCTCCTGGAGGGTGTTAAAGGTGTTCCGAGGGGAGATGTAGAAGCCTCCGTTGTCCAGCGTCCGGATCTTGTAATGTTTCACCGTGTCCACTTTGTTCTGGCTGTCAAAATCTCTTAGCGACAAAGAGTAACTTCCTGCACCAAAAAGAAAGGGGGAAAAAAGGAACTGTGGAGAGAACGGCAAGGAGTTCCCCCCCTCCCTGAGACCTGCCCCCAGGATCCCTGGTCCTAAGATTTTTGACCCATAGTGAGCTGAGAGGCGTTGTTTCTACAGCAGCAGCTTCTGTAACCGCCGTATGGACACAAAGCAAGGTTTGGCCCAGTATCAGCTTTGGAAAACCTTTGGAAAGTTATATTTCTATTCCTGCTCAAAGATTCCAGGAAATGCATTCCCAAATCTTATGTTTTCCAACCCTTTTTGAGTTTTCACCGGTTCAGACCACACAACGCACCCTATTGCGTCTACGTTTCTTAGCCAAGTGGGCCTGTTGTAAACTTAAACGAGCTTTGGAAGGATGCAATCCTGCCACCCTTCTCCCAAGTTCAGGATGCAGGAGAAGAGGAAGAGAATGAAGCCAGCTTAACCCTTTCCTCTCAGATTGTTGTTGTTGTTTTATTTTTTTAACTCAAAAGCACTGCCAGGGGAAAAAAGTTTCCTATAAGGGAAAAAAGTTGATAGGGAAAAAGCCGTTCAAATGAGGTGTTCTGCCTGCTTGGAGAACCTGTTCCTTTTCCCTGCCCCATGATAGCTTGAAGTCATCATTTCGACCACCACGTCTTTCAATAACGACCTTTTCCTCCCTCTGGGTTGCCAACTCTTCCTAGGGTAGAGGGTCAACCCGGCACCCGCTGTTCATAAAAGAGGGACGGGCGTTACCTTTGGTCGTCTCACTGTCTCGGATCATGAAGGAGCCGATCATGTTGCCGGGAGCTAAGAGATGCCGCTCTGCATCCTTCCGACTGACCCCTCTGAAGAACCACCTAAGAGGGCAACATTCCCAAAGCAGGCGGGTGAGATTTCCTTTGCCGCCATCCCTCGCTGCCTCTGCCCAGCCCATCACCTGCCCCTTCCCAAATCCAGCAAGAAAACCACAAGCTCGGCATGAACCCCGGGACAGTGTTGGGACTTGTCTTGTTACGGTCTTCAAGGGAGGAGATGGTCTGGGGGAAACCCAGCGGAGGCTTTGGTGCAGCTGGATCGCTGGAGATGTTTCTCCAAAGTCATGAAGATGCCATGAAGACACTCACCAAAACACGGAATATCAGCCTTTGATAGCTGATGGCCACGAGTTTCCAAGCATGCCCAGGCCACCTGCTTGGGTCTCCTTTTGGATTAACAACAGGGAGATCAAGAACCATGATGACGTAGACTGGGTCTTAGGGTTAGTCCCTAATGAGTAGCCAGAGACATCTTATGGGGGCAATTCTGCTATACTTTTAGACCCTCCTGATCAGGTCACTCTGAAAAAAGCCTCATCCAAGCCTAAAATCTCTGCAGTCTTTGAACGGCAGAGCTGGAAGGGGCCCACCGTATGGATCATCGAGTCTAGCCAATGTCAAGGAGGCCCACAGGGGAACTGAACTCCCAACCAGCCCCTGTTCTATCCAGCAGTTATAGACGGACGCACTGAAAATAGGGTGAAATTCCTCCCGTCCCCCCGAACGTCTTCATTTTGCAAGGGAGAGAAGGGATACTGAAGGCTGCATCAGGCCCGGAGCCTTCATTTGGCCCACTCCTGACCTGTCCCCGTGTCGTCCTGCAATGGGAGCGCAGTGGCATGCCAGCAGCCGAAAAGGAAGGAAAAGGACATGAAAGGGGGTGGGTGGATGTTTACTTCTTCCTTAGGCAGCGGGAAGAATCAACAACCACCACCACCAATCGTGCTTCTCTCCTCTAGAAAGTTAGCAAGGAGAAGCCGCCCAGAGACCTTTGGGTAGTGTGGGCGGCATATAAATTAAATAAATAAATAAATAATAAATAAAGACGACCGCCATCCACTCAAACAGAGAGAGACGCGAGCCTGTAAGAAGCCGGGTGGACTCACTCCTCCGTCTCCAGCGAGTTGACCCTGGCGACGTAGTTGCTGGGGATGTAGCCTTCTTGGCCGGTGGTCAGTGACTCGGCTCTCCACCACTCGCCTGAGCTGCAGTAGGAGAGAACAAGGAAGCAAGAGAGCCTTCTATTTCAATCTGCTTCATGTCCTCAGGAAGCTTCAGGCACTGCCGTGGGGAGAAAAAGGGGGCACAGACGTCCACTTCACCTGCCCAGCTCCGAACCCAAGCCAATGCCTTTCCTCCTAAGCGGTGCTGTTGACCCAGCCCAAGCTCTCTGCCCGTTGGGCGCTTTCCACAATGCGCGGACATCACTGTCCAAGCATGCCCCGGCCAACGACCAAGTAAGGAGACTTTCGGAGCTAGGCTAAACACTTTAGACTCCCTGCCAGTCAAGGCTCCCTGGATATCCTGACTACCACGCGTGGCAATCTTTTATTTTACTTCCCAGATTGGGATTCCTTTCTCCTCCCCAGGCAGAGCCTTCTCTGCTTTCTTCTCTTTTCATCTATCTGGGCCACTGTCTGAAGGGACCTCTGGGGGTTTATTTATGTAACTTTCCTCCTCTCTTTTGCAGGAACAGAGATTCTCCGAAGGAGAGCTTGTGTTTTCTTCATATTTACTAATTTATCTTGTATCAATGTATTCACAAAGGCTTTCACAGCCGGGATCTAATGGTTGTTGTGGGTTTTTCGGGCTTGTTCGGCCGTGTTCTTAAGGCTGTTCTTCCTAATGTTTTGCCAGTCTCTGTGGCCATGGGCATCTTCAGAGGACAGGAGTCAGAACTCTGTCTGTGCTCTGTTGCAGTTTTGTGGGATAGTTGAGTATTTATAGCTGTGGGATCAGCTTTTGTCCTTTTCAGGAGACTGGGTGACTATACAAATACTATAAATACTCCCACAAAACTGCCCCAGAACATAGACAGAGTTCTAACTCCTGTCCTCCGTAGATGCCGGCCACAGAGACTGGAGAAACATTAGGAAGAACAACCTTCAGAACACGGCCAAAGAGCCTGAAAAACCCACAACAACCATTATCTTGTATCATTTGAAGACCACCTTCCTCCCAGGGAGGGGCTGCAAGGCACCCTGATTTATTGTGAAATCAAGCAATACTAAAAATGCAACAAGTTCCAGACTGAAAAGCAATGAAAGTACAAATAACAATTAAACCTCCATTAATTAATTAAAATGCTTTTAATTAATTTCAAGGTGGGGAGAGCTCCCAGGGACACAGTCCTAGTTATTAAAAGCCTTCCTGCCGTCTTTAAGTGTTGGCGGAAGGATGAAAGGGGTGGGAGCCGAGCTCGCCTTCCGAGGGAGGGCGTTCCACCCCCTGGGAGGGACCACAAGGGGGGGCTTCTCCTGCATCCCCATCAGATACACCTGTGAAGGCAATGGGACCCAATTTATTTATTTATTTATTTATTTATTTGATTTTTACCCCGCCCCTAAACACCTGCGATGGCAATGGGACCCAAAAGAAGGGCCTCCTCTGATGATCTTAACGGTCAGCATGTCTTATATGGGGAGATAACGGTCTTCCAGGTAGCCTGAATCGTAAAGCTGAAAGGTATAGTCTCTCCAAGCAAAGAATTCTCAGCCCTTTTGTGGCAATACAGCCTCTCCCAACCCTTCCGATGGGTCAGAAGACAACTTCCATCACTCCCTGCCAGCGTGGCAAATGGCTCCACTGAAGGAGGACAATGGGATTTCCAGTGTAGCCCCTCTGGAAAAAAAAAATATTTCAACAAGGAAGGCTGCCATTCTGCAATTCCCAGGATGGTTTTGAAGAAGCCAATGTGCGGCATAGAACGGTTTCACATTTGCACTGTGCATCATGCTTCTGGACCCACCCCCACCCCCCCGGTGCAGGCAAGAATATTCCTTCAGAGCTGCTGCCACCAGATTTCCTGGGACTTTGATATGAGCCAGAACAGCCAAAAGGAGGTCCACCAGGTTCCTGGAGGAAAGAAAGAGGCAATGGGTAACAGTCTGGCACTTACTCCTCCAGGATTTTGAGGCATTCGCCCTTCTGGAAACTCAGGTCTTCCCTGTGTATCGCTTCATAGTCGTAAAGAGCCAGGACGATGAAATCTTCTGTAAGAAGGACGAAGGGCATGCAGTCACACAATGTCAAACGTTATGGCGGACGTACTGCCTAACTTAAACCAACCCTAGCATGTCTGAGAGCCAAACTGGACATGACCGAGAGCTTATAATCAGAAGGTAAAAAATTTGTTAGTGTCGCAGGCACATGGTTCAGGAAGACTGACATGACCGAGCAATTAAATGGACAGCTATGTTTACATCCCAGTGACCAATCGCAAAACACAACAAGCTCATTTGCAAATGTGTGTAACAATCAGATGTTGTCAGCACATTAGGCCTTCCCTTTTCTAATGAAATGTTATCTGTAATTAAAACATTAGCCTTGATTTTCTGGCATAAGACATGCAGTGCAAAAAAAGGGCATTTCCTCAGGATCAGGAGAAGTCTATCTGGCTTCCCTTGAACGTTCATGTTCAAGTTACTCGCCTGCTTTTGATTGGTAGCAAAGCTCAGATAACGGGGCCCGTCTGCATGTCTTATGGCATTAGGCCACTATTCTACCATCTTTCATCTCTACCTCTGGGGCCGACAACTATCAGTGAAGCAAGAGATCCATGATCTGTTCCCCCATCATTTTCCTTTACTTTGGGGGGGCGGGGCAAAAAGAGGCTCTGCTTTTGGCGACAGCAATGGCGTGGGGGGGGGACCCTTTCTCCGACCGCTTTGCAGATCTGAATTCCTTTCCTTCTCCCAAAGATCTGGTGAATCCTGCCATGTTCTCCCCCCACTGTGAAATGAGCTGTCACTAGAACAGGGTGATTTAAATATGCAAATAGCTTGGGGGGGATGGGAAAGCACCCTCTCCTTGTCAAACCCACTGCTCCAATCAAGAGGAGGGCTCTAGATCGACCTAAGTCAACCGGAGCTTTCCCGCATCATGTGTGGCTTTGCAAGAGCTTTGTCTGGAGGACTGAACAAGTCGCGGATGGGACGATTAAAGGTGTCCTTCGTTGCAGGGCGCCTGATGTTGCCCTGGGGCACCATGAACCCATGAAATGGCCTCCTGCCAAATCAGAGGATACTTACCGTCATCCTGGGGCTTCACGGGAGTAGATGGTATGCAACCCTGTGATGCAAAAGAAGAAGAAGAAGAAAAACATCTACGTTTAGCACAACAAGAATATTTTTTGTGGACAGATAGTTTGCAGCCTGTAAGGCAACTTTACCGAATCCATCGCCTTCCAGATGTGCAGGATTATATTCTACTAGGAGTCCAGACGAGTCATGGAATGGAGCTTCCTGATGACATGGCTTTGGCTTCCCTGACACCCTCACAGCCCCTCAACACAGAACGCTGTGCATCCATTACAGGTCTGTTTTGTCTTTTCACATTTATTGGTACAATCCTAACAAAAATATGCTAATAAATAAGGAGAAGCAAACAGTGGCCCGCAGACTAGAAACTTTCAAGATACATTCCAGTCCTCAAGAAATGATAGGACCATGATTCCCAATAAGGATGAACATTCTGGCTGTGGATGATGATGGGAGCTGAAGCTCAACCTCTTTGGAAGGGACCAGGTGGGGGGAAATCCCTTCCACTCTTCTACTTTATAACAAAGCTAGGACTTTGTTAAATTTATAAACTGATATTCCCACGGAAAGCGCTTGGAGGACTTTAGGGAAAGTCACAATTCTGATATAATTGCATTATGGTGATCCAAAATTCTGCTATGTAAGCAGTGTGCCCTTTACTGGACATTTTAACATGTCATTTTCTGCACTGTAATATTCTGTTCTCTGTAAGCAGCCCCTTATCTCCCTTTGTTCCTACTACAGAACAGACTTTAAATCAAAATGGATGCTATTGGGACAATCTTAGGACTACAAATCCCATTCTAATACACATAAAAACACAAATCATCACATTCTCATTTCAGCTACTACACTTCTACCCTTATGCTAAACATTAAATGCGTTTCCATATGCAGTGTTTCCAACCTTTCTATGTAGACCCTTCACATAACGATCTGGTTCGCTGGAGAGTGATGGGGTTCTTGATAACTTGCTACCAAGGCCAAATTCTTTGGATTTGATGCAGCCCATTCTGGGAAGAGAGAAAAAAGAAATGAAACACCTTAAATCCACATGAAGGGAGGAAGGGAGGAAGAGGGAAGGAAGGAAGGAATTCCAATCACACTTCTGTTATCTCTTTCCTTCCTCCCTTCCTCTAGTCCCACCTCTGCCAATCCTATTATGGTTCTCTGTCCAGTCACTTGTACAATGTTCTGGAGAAGGTGGCAGTGTTCCAATGTTCTTCTTGATGGGTACAGAAATACCACTTACCACAGGGATGTCTTTTATGTCCTGCGAGTTGCTTCTGTTTTGCTTTTATTTATTTATTTATTTATTTATTTATTTATTTATTTATTTATTTATTAAATTTTAGCCCAAGGAGACCTGGACTTGTTAAAGTTAGAGGTGTGCAGATTTGGGTGTTAGGACTACAGCTCCCAGAATTCTCCAGCTGTAGTCCAAAACCACAAACCTGTGATCTGGTGCTAATCCAGTACATCAGCACTAGTGACAAGATGATCTAGCGCTGCTTTCATCACCAAATCACCAGCCGCAGACATGCCCCTCCCTGCCTTTACAAGAATGAATCAACTGATCACATGGGGAAACGTCTGTTCAAATCATTCTAGCTTTTTTGGGGGGGGGGGGGGGTACAGCCAAAAAGGGCCAGACTGATTCAAATCAGCCTTTGTGTCGTGTGATCGGGGAGGGGGAAGGGGGTGAAATCCTTCAAATTGACCCATACTATAACCACCGGAAATAAAGTGATATTTGATCACACAAACCTCAATTCTTTTTCTTACAGTTTCTCTCTGTGTACAGAGAGAAGAAAGCCAGTAGTCACTCAGCAAACTCCAGTTAGCAAAATTTTTCTTCCTCCCGCCCCCCATGCCCAAAACCCTGCATTCCTCAAGTCAAAGAAGGGTGGTGTGCATTCCAGTTCCTATTTACTTGAGGAAAGAAGACCAGGGTGGTGGTGGTCTTTCTTGATTTTGATACCCCCCCCAAACAACACTGGCTTGCTCTTCAATTTTTCTCCCTCCCTTATTTTAGGGAGGTAAGGGGGAAAGCTGCTTAGGTTTTTATAGTTCATGGCTTCCTCCTAGTATACACACTTAGCCAACACGCTATGAGAGCTGCAACCACCGCCTCCCGAGTCTGAAAAAGTTACTTTTCTGAACTCCAGGTGCAGAATTCCCCAACTAGAATGGCCATACTGGTCACTGGATTTTGGGACCGTAGTCCAAAAAAGAGAGAGAGCTTTTCTAAACCCTTCTTGCAAACCCTGAAGCTGTCCCTGAACGCCTCACCCCTCAAACGATGCTCTCTGGAGACTGTACGTGCCAAGGTGGACGGTGAAAGGATGGAAGCCCCTCCTCACCCAAAGAGGAAGCAAATGGATGCTATGGGTCCTGAGGAAAGACCCCCCCCCAAGAACGGTGCAAATGAGTCCTCATCAAATTTGTATCCAAGAGTCAGCGAAACGTATTGCGCAGAGAAACTACAGGCCAAAGGAGGCGCCGGATATGACCTGATCCCCTTTATCTCTTTCTGCGTCCAAACAAAGGTTACCTATTCATGTCCAGCTCACGCTGCAAAATCATGGTTAGCATAAGCAAAGCAATATTAAAACGAACAAAAGGGAAGTGCCTTCCAAACCAAGAAGGGCCATGCACGGTCATACACTGCGCACATCGTGAGTTTTCCCCTCACAAAGCGAAGGTGGTTGTCATTCCAGTGTCTGGGGCAAGAAAGGGCACCAGTGGATTCCTACCGGCAAGGAAGGATGGGAGTTGTATCTCCCGAGAGAAAACATAGAAGGGGCAGGAAATATTTGGACTATACTCCCCCCCCAGCCCAGAATCCCCTGGCTAGCATGGCCATTGCTGGCTGGGGGATTGTGGGAACTGTAGTCCGAAGATAATTGTCCGAAGCTCTGAGGAAAGCTGCATAAAGATGAAAGGCAGGAGAACTTACCAGAGGCTTGGAAAGTTCTTCTTCTTTTGACTACCGCTCCCAGAATCCTCCAGCCAGCACCGCTTCTTCTCAGGCTGTGGATCCTGGGGTTTGTAGTGTTTTAAAAAAGAGGAGCTTTCCCAAACTCTGGAGATTATGAACGCCACGCAGTGAGAAGGGTTTGCTCCTCACTTCCACATCACTGAAGAGGCTCAATCTGTGTGTTTGTGTGTTCTGTTCATGTGGGACACACAACTAGTGGATGGGATTTGTAGTCCAGCTGATTGGGAAGGCTGCGCTATGCACCACACAACACTGTCAAAACTTGGAAAGGCACTTCGAGAAGGCAGCAAGCTTTCCTTGAGCGACCGGCTGCCTGAGAGGGGTTTTTTAATGGATTGTTGTGCCTTGTTGCTTTGAGTGTCTTTTTGGTGTTGACTTTATTTACCGTTTCAGTCTAATATTTGTTAGTTTCTTTTTAAATATTTGCATCCTTCTGGCTTTGGCTTTTAAATATTGTCCTCTACTGATGTGAGCCACCTGGGGCCCCTTTTTTGAGGAGAAAGGTAAAAATAGTTTAAATAAATAAATAAACAAGACAAAATAACAGTTTGGCTTTTGCTTTCAGTTCTTCAAATTCCAAATGTTCTTGTCCGTGGGGAAAAACCCAGAACATGGATCTTTTCAGGAAGTGTCAATGACACAGAAACCACAGTGTGGGGAAGATGCTGAAATGCTTCCACTCGAAAGCCATCCCTTCCAGTAATATGTATTTTGGTTGTTTTTTCAGCTAAAGTGAAAAGCAGAAGCAAGAGGCTAAGAGAAGAGGCACACTGTCCCGAACAAGGATCGCACCTCCCAGTTGACCCAAAGTGACCCGGGGGTGAGGAAAGCAGAACCTCCTTTTCATGAGAAAAAAAATGGCCTTAGAGAGAGAAATTTCCCACGGAGCCAGGACGTTTGCCGAGGAGGACAAGACCCATCACTCTAAGCAGCTGCCGCATGGCGAGGTTCCAATCCATGGGCAGTATTTGATGATATCAGGTCAACAGAATGGCTTTGAAATGGGGTGTGAGGAACATCTCATTCTCCTAGTTGTGGCAGTCTGTCCTGTCTTCCCCAAGAAACATCCTGCATGGTTTCTGTCCACATGAGCCTGAGAGACACCCACCCCACCCACCCAGTATCCCACAGCATCCACCTTCCACCGCTGACCTGTGGCCGAGAGTTGTTTTTCTGTCCTGGTGTTTTCAGAACAGTGCACGCCGCAAAGTAGTTGACTCAGAAAATCTGCAACGCCTGTCCAGTGGAGGAAATCTGGTGGAGAGGGGGTTGGCCGTCCCTGCACGGCAGACCCTTCCAGAGGACACAGAACTGAGTCGCCTCAACGCAGACCCACAACAGGGGAAAGTGAAGGGTGCTGTGCAAGGATTTTGCCTTTCTGGATGTCAGAGAGCCTCATGCCACTTCCAGTGACATGGTCAAGTCCGAAGCAGCGGGACACTGACCACAGCTGAGAGACGGTCATTCCCAGGAGGGAAGGTGAGTTCCTCAGCTCTCGCATGACAGAACAGGAGGACAGCAATGGAAAGGCTGCTCTCTTTTTTTTTGGACGACGACTTGCCGAAACCCCCGAACCAAGCCCTGGAGATGACCCACCAAGAAGACTCAACATGATCACTCTGAGGGAGGAGGGCAATTCATGGAAACCAGACCTGGCCCTCCCCGCAGTCCAAATTAGGCCCAAGAGTTAGGCCTGTCCCTCTCTCTGCCCCCATCTGCTGAAATAACAGAGAAGGCAAAGAGGAGGCAAAGCAAGGGGGTCCCTGCCTTGGAAGGCTAGCTTTCCAGAGGGAAGCTGTTCTCTCATGGAAGTGGCCCTCAGCCCGGTGGTCCCAGACCCCACTCCGTTCTCCTCCACACGGAGACTCAGTGGAAAAACAGCCATCAGAGAAGGGTCCGCCAGGGTTCATTGTGCGCTAGGGTCACTCAACGGGACCTCTGCTAGAGACCTCTGAAAGCCAGCCACACCCAGCACGGGGTCTCCCCCTGCAAGTCCATCAGCCACAGAAGGTGACTCTGTTCCCAGAATAATACCGTCTAGGAAGCCCCTGGGCCGAGGACCTCCTTCTCCCTCAGGGGCTTCCCCAACCCCAACAGGGGTCAACGCAAGTTGCGACTCAGAGAGGAGGATACATCAGTCCTGTCGCTGTTGACGCACGACAGCCTCCTCCTCCTGGCCTTGAGAAGCAGCAGGTTGGAGCATTTGCTCCTGAGTAGATCTGCTGCAGAAAAAACGGTACCTTGCTATTTCAGGAAATACTGAGGCAAATCCTTAAATCATGAACCAGGTCTACATAATCTGAGTTGTTTCCCCTCCCCCACAACAATATTTTATACTTTCAATTGATGCAGCCAATGGTAAGCTGCCTTGGGTCTTTTTATGGGAAAAGGCAGGGTAAAAATCGTTTAAATAAAGAAACAGTCGCTAAATTGAAAGTCGAAGAGCAAACTTTCTTCCTAGAAGGAGGCACACTGTTAATGTTATTTTGAAACAGTTCTGCAGATTAAAGCGATATCTGCTTGGACATCTTTCTTGCGTTTTTCCTACACAGCCATTTGCAAGAGGAACTTTAACATCTCCCTGTACTATTTCTATTTATTTATAAACAAATTCAGGGGCAAGATGAAAGGCAATAGACCCTTGGTGTCCCTTCTTGAGCCCGCCACCCCCAGTCAGACTTCTGTTTCCGTCAATGTTGTCAAGAGTTATTTGCATAATGATGTTGCAAACCACACAGAGGGTGCTTTAGCACTGCGAGGCTGTCTAGAAGTCAGAAGCACACCAACAAAATTATGGAGTCTTTCCTGTTATTCGCACGCGCGCCCCCCCCCCGCACCTCATGCTTGTGGAAGCCCTTCAGTGGTTCTGAAAAGGTTAATGAGATCGGTCTCCGTTTTGCAGAAACTTTGTTAACTTCAGAAATAAATAACAGGAAAAAGTGCTTCTGAGAAGTTGGCCAAGGATGGGTGTGCACAGTTCCCCTTTTAGAGGTAAAATGACTGGATCCGTTC